CGATGGTCGTAAGGGTGGCGGTCATGCTGGGCGTCCGACGTGCTGGTTGTGATCGTGGTGGTCGTGTTGGTGGCCGGCCTGCTGGTGGAGCTGGAAGTCGCGGTGGTCGTGTTGGGGGTGGTCGTGCTGGTGGCTGGGGTGGTCGTACTGGCGGACGATTTAATTAGTGGGTAGTTGTGCTGGCGTGGAGCGTACTGTTGGCAGTCGCGGCGGGCTACTGCCCAAGGGCACTCAGCAACATATCGGCGCTCCCTCCGTGAAGAGTCACCGAGATCTCCCGCCACAGGCGGCCGAGGGGCTCCCCCCGCTCGTCCTCCTTGAGGTCGGCGCCATGGCTGCGGACGAAGGCCGCCGCTTCCTCGGAGGGCCGCCCCCAGCCTCGAAGACCATGGGGATCAGCTCGAGCCCCTGTCGCGGAGGGTACAACGTCCTCTTGCTGTCGACCTCCTGGGCTGCTGCCAAGCCACTCCTGTGGGACCGGCCCTCCCTCACTCCCTCCCTCCCTCCCCCCTTCCCTCCCTCCCTCCCTCCGCCTGCTACTCCTGCTTCTACTGCTCTTCTTCCTCCTCGTCCTTCCCCTCCTCCTCCTCCTCTTCTTCCTCCTCCTCGTCTTCTTGTTGTTATTCCTTTCCTTGCTTAGATAGTATGATTAGCAGCAACAGCATCAGCATCAGCATTAGGATTCGTACTAGTGTTCGTACCCGTAGTATCCGTAGTACTCGTAGTATTCGTAGTTTCCGTAGTTTCCGTAGTATTCGTAGTAGTCGTAGTAGTCGTAGTAGTCGTAGTCGTCGTAGTCGTCGTAGTCGTAGTCGTAGTCGTAGTAGTAGTAGTAGTAGTAGTAGTAGTAGTAGTAGTAGTAGTAGTAGTAGTAGTAGTAGTAGTAGTAGTAGTAGTAGTAGTAGTAGTAGTAGTAGTAGTAGTAGTAGGCGTAGTAGGCGTAGTAGTAGTATTAGTAGTAGTAGTAGTAGTAATAATAATTCTCATACGCACCTCTCCGAGGGAGTAGAGCTCAGAGGCGATTAATGCGCACGTCGTTCGCGATTTGTCTGGCCGTTTCGCTCGGGACATCCTCGAAATTCTGAAAATCGGTGGCACCCCTCACGCAGATCGTGACGTCAGGGTCCAAAAACACATGGAATTTCAACATTTTAACATAAAACATTCAAAAACACATGGTAATTTCAATAATTTTGACCCCGATTCTCAGAGAATGGCGGTTTCGCCTGAGACATCCTCCCAAAATCGAGCCCCAGACCCCTCCTCGGAGCCTCCTGGGGGCTCCTGGAACCTCCTGGGGCCTCCTGGGGCTTTCTGGACCTTCTGGTACCCCAGACCCCGCCTCGGAGCCTCCTGGAGTTCTCCTGGGCCTGCTGAGGCCGCCTGGGGCCTCCTGGGGCCTCCTGGGGCTTCAGAACTACATGCACACACAGAGACACAAATCACGCCCAACACATCACACGCTAGACAAACATAACATACACACACACACACACCGACAACACACAAAAAGCACGCACCACACAAAGCACACATCACACACACACACACACACACACACACACATCACAATCCTGGGGCCTCCTGGAGCCTCTTCTGGTATCCAAGTCGGGCCTCCTGAGGCTTCCTGGGGGGCCCTGGTACACACATCGCAAGGTGTGGCAACCCCACTTGCGCTCGAGTGCGACTTCGCTGTTGCATGTCACTCCTGCTTCAAACGCCCCTTCAGCTTGTTGTATGAGCCTGGGCACACACGTGCCACTTGTAATAATAATAATAATACTAATAATAATAATAATAATAGTAGTAGTGGGAGTAATAATGATAATAATAGTGTGAGCTTTAGTGTTAGTCGCGTTGTTCGCCGTAATAATAGTGTTAAAAGTGTGATTATGCGTAAATGCATATATCACCCGTAAGCTTAATATAATGGTCCGTCGTATCTTAGTGCGCATACGATCATGAATGGCATTAGCTGTAGTGTTTGTGGTTGGCTTTCTTCGTGTTAATGTCGAAAGGCTGATTACTGTTCGGAATGCGAGTAGTACGATGAGCAGGTTGATCCCTCTTCTTATTATTATTAGTAATAGTCTCACTAGTCGACTCCTTCTCCGTAGTAGTATTAGTGATAGTCTTAGGGGTAGTAATAGACTTGTTCTAAGTAGTAGTATGAGTCCGCTTATTAGTAATATAAGTCGTGGTATGCTTCGTCTCCGGAGTATCATACTTAGCACGGTGTTTCTTATTGTTCCTCCTCCTCCTCGTCCTCCTCCTTGTGTTCCTCCTCCTCCTCCTCCTCCTCATCATCATCCTCCTCCTACTGCTCTTCCTCCTCCTCCTCCCCCTGCTCCACATCCTCCCCCTCCCCCTCCCCCTCCTCCTCCGTCTCCCCCTCCGCGGACTCCGACCCGCGCGGATTGGCGGGGCGGGGCTGGGCCCATCGCAGAAAGCGCACAGCGCGGCCTCCCCACGATGGTCGGCAGGTGCCGCCTGGGCGGCTACGCGGGCCGGCTGGCCGCCCAAAAGGGGCCACGCGGGGCCCCGAAGAGCAACGCAGCAGGCCATCCAGGGGGAGCCAAGGAGCAGGAGATCCCCCTCCTCTGCCTCGCGCTGGGCGGCCTTCGCGCTGCCAGGGCGGCGAGGGTCGACGCAGTGCTGAGGGAAGAGGAGGAGGAGGAGGAGGAGGAGGAGGAGGAGGAGGAGGAGGAGGAGGAAGAGGAGGAGACGACGAGGAGGAGGGAGAGGAAGAGGAGGACAACCCCGCTGGCGGTGGTTGATGTGCCAAGGAACAACCGAACCAAACACCCTGGAGGAGGTTGCCGAGGCCACAGAGGTTCTGAGACGTCCAGAACCTCGAGTCTCGGATACCGAACGCCTCCAGAAGCCCCAAAGGGCCCAAAGCTTCCCAAAGCCTCTGATCTCAATGATGAGGAGGATGAGGACGACGAGGACGACGACGCAGACATCCGCTGGATTGACTTGTTCAGTCCGCGGGCCCCAAAGTTTCGACCCCGCACTTGCGCATCCTGGACCTGTTCTTGACTGTCCAGGGGCCAAGAGATGGCATCCAGAGACCAAAAACCGTACGAACAGACACGTATCATCGGGATTTGCCGCCGCGCCAAGAACTGAGGGGACGAGAGGAGGAGGAGGAGTAGGAAGAGGAGGAGCAGGAGGAGGAGGAAGGAGGAGGAGAAGGAGGGAGGGGGAGGGAGGAGGAGGAGAAGGAGGAAGAGGCGGCCAAGGGGCCGCGGGCCTCATCCACTCCAAGCGGCGGCCCGCACAGCCAGCGGCGCCACAGACCCCAAGGCTCAGCCTGCGCACAAACGGGGAGTGCCGAGGAGGAGAGGAGGAGAGGCGATGGGAGGCGGGGAGGACGGGGGACATCCTAGCAGAACCTCTTCCTCCCTGTAATTATTCGCTCTGGCCTGGCCCCGCTAATGCTGCCACACGTGGCAGGTGGGTTGGCTATGTCCCTGGGCAGGTTGCATGTCCCTCGTCGCCCGAGGTATCCTGGTCGGGGCGCGGTCCTGGAGAGGTTGTGGGAGCGATTCCCCCTTGACGAGGTGCCCCGACATCCAGCGGGCGTGGAAAAGACTGATGAGGGACGAGGGGGGAGGAGGAGGAGGAGGAGGAGGAGAAGGAGGAGGGAGGAAGAGGAGGAGGAGGAGGGGAAGGGGGAGGGGGAGGAGGAGGAGGAGGAGGAGCAGCAGGAGGAGGAGGAGGAGGAGGTCGGGCATGTCCTCCTACAGGCGGATGTTAGACGAAACATTCTAAATAGTCACAAAATACACAAAAACAAAAAAAGCGTCGTCCCCAGGCTATGTTTGGACTGTTTTTGAATATTCCTCCTGTAGAGGGGCAGGCCCGACTTAAGAATAGGAACAGGACTAGGAGGAGGAGGAGGAGGAGGAGGAGGAGGAGGAGAGACGAAGCGGAGGGACGTGGGAGGAGAGTCGGGGATCGAGGGTCGGATACCTTTGATGGGGAAGGACGATGGAGGCAGGAGCAAGGAGCAGGGCGGTGTCTTTCTGGCTGTAGCCTTGGACAATACGAGAATGCACTGGCCGCGGGGCAGGGAGGAGGGACCACGGGGAGGGGGGGGGCAGGCGAGGGGAAAAGGAGGAGGAGTGGGACGTGCAGCTGGAGAAAGGGGGAGGCAGTAAGAGAAGAAGAGGGGAGGGACGGAGGGAGGGAGGGGAGGGAGGGAAGGATGAGGAGGAGACAGGGTTGTAGCCTGGCGAGGGGGCCAACCCTTAACAGCTCTGTGCAACGTGGGTGACGACCCTCTCGATGCACGGCCCGTGTGAGGGTTGCGCCAACTTTGTTAGGGGGGGGGGGGGGGCGGTGGGGGGGGCGAATGCAAACTTTCCAACTGGGGCCCTATGTGGAACCCACTGGGGGGCGCGAAACGTGTGAGGGCACGCCCAAGTACACAGGGGAAACGCATGCAAACATTCCTACTGAGGCCGTAGGTGGGTCCCGTGCGAAGGGTGGGCCGAAACGGGCGGATGGACGCATGCAAACTGTCCCTGAAAGGTCGTACGTGGAGCTCACAGGTGGGACCCTATGGGAAGCGCGTTGTAATGGGCGGCGCCGCCATGCGAGCCCTCCCGCCGAGGCCGTAGGTGGAGCTCCTTCTAGGGTCACGATACTCATGAGGACAGTGCCGAAATGGACGGCCCGCCATGCGGACCCTGTCACTGGGGCCGTAGGAGGAGCCCCCCATGGGGCTACTATCCTCGCGAGGGGCGTGCCGAAAGGGACGCCACCGCCACACTGACCCTGCCAAAGGAGCCCGGGGCCGTATGAGGCCCCCCCGTGTGAGGCCACGATCCTCGTGCGGAGTGCGCTGAAATGGGCGGCGCCGCCGAATGGACCCTCCCGCTGGGGCCGCAGGTCGAGCTCGCTATGGGGCCACGATCCTTGTGAGGAGTGTGCCGAAACGGGCGGCTCAGCATGCGGACCCTGCTGCTGGGGCCGTATGTTGAGCTCCCTGTGTGGCCACGAAGCGCGAGAGGTGCACACCTACGCGTGGGCGCGCACGCCAGCGTCGACGCCCACCGAGACCTCAGGGACCACGAATCGGGGACGCACTGACCCGGGTCAATGCAACTTGCACTGACCCGGGTCAATGCAAGTTGCATTGACGAGGCCTTGCAAGATCCTGCAAGCTATCCCGCACGATCCTGCACACAAACCCGGGTCAATGAGTCCCTGGCCCTGCAGGATCCTGTGCAAGATCTGGCGCCCTGGCTGACCCACGTGTGCATTGACCCCCGTCTCTTATAAGCTCCGAACGAAGCGTTTGAGGGGTGTGCCGGACTCGAGGTTCGTGCACCCACCGAGACCGTACGTGGAGCTCCCCATGGGGCCACCGAACGTGCGAGGGGGCGCTCCGAGCTTGGGCGCGTATGCGCCATACGCCGGCGCCCACTGAGACCGCAGAAGTGGGGCTCCATGGGGGCCCGCAGGAGATTGGAGGGGCGTGCCGGAATGCCCCCGCAGAGAGCAGCGGAAGGAAAGGGGTAGGAGAAGAAGAATGAAAGGGAGAATGAGAGGGAGAAGGAGGAGGATGAGGACGAGGAGAAGAAGGAGACGCGCGCTGCTGAGTCGAAATGAGCACCCAACTCACACGGGGCGGTTGAGAAATATAACGAGAAGGTAAATAAGGATACGTTGGGGAGGAAGGCGAGAGAGAGAGAGAGATCAGGGTGAGGAGAAGAGAGGAAGAGGGAGACACTTGGAGGAGGGAGAAGGAAAAAGGGAGGAAGACGAGAAGAGGATCAGAATGTTCGATGAAGCATGCGGGAAGAGGGGATGAGGAGGGGCGAGGATGACGATGGAGCAGGAGGCGACAAGGGGAGGAAGAGGGAAGAGGGAATGCGAGGGAGGAGAAGGGAGGAAGGAGTATTATATTGGGGCGGGGGTAGAAGGCAGGGAAGAAGGATCCTCACCCCTCGATCCTCTGTCTCGAGCTTCGGCCCTGAACCATCCGGAGATATACACATACCTGAACACGGCTGCATGCGAACATAGCTATATACACACAGATGTACATGCGGACATACATGCTTACACACATATATCATAGATCATAAACATATATATATATATATATATATATTTATATATATCATATATATACACATATGTATATGTATATATATATATGTATGTATATATATGTATATGTGTGTTGTCTACGCGTCGAATGAGATTGCACTCAAAACGCTCGCCCTGCGCCTCTGCGGCACCTGGGCCCCCCGGGTGTCGGTCCCCAGGCAGGCTCTGTGGCCGCCCCTCGCCGCCCGCCGCCGCCCGCCCGCCCGCCGCACTGCCACTGCTCCGTGCACTGCGGCGCACTGACTTCTGCCTGGCTGCGCAGTACTCTGCAGGGGAAAAGGGGGAGGAGGAAGGGGAAGAAGGGGGAGGAGGAAAGGGAGGCGGACGCGGGGAAAGGGGAGGAGGAGAAGGAGGTGGAGGACAAGGAGGAGGAGGAGGAGGGGGCCCCAGGACACACGAAAAAATACACACGAATGAGAGATTCCCCATCTTTTCCTATACTTTCCATATTTTCCTATATTTCCTGAGTTTTGGTCTTCCCCCCCCCCCCCCCCACCCACTTCCCATATTTTCCCATCTGTTCTAAGGAATCGACGATGAATAGTGTATGTGTTTTTTTTCCCCTCCTGATTTGCACCGGATGGCACAACCTGGATTGCACCGCAGTGGCTGCACCGTCCAGCTGTCACCGCACGGGCTGCAGGGCATCCCTGCTTGGGGGTCGCCAGTGGCCACCAGGACTGCATGAACAGGGCAAGAGAGCAAGAGAGAGAAAGAGAGAGAGAGAGAGAACGAGATGCAATTAGGGAAACGAACTCTATACACCGACGCAGTTTCTGGCCCTGCACTGTTACTTGCCAAGGGAAGCGGCCCTGGTGTATATGGGATCCTGGTGTATCAACTGTTCGCTGTCTCCCCGGGAAAACGGGGAAAAAACATGCACCACACCACCCCGACGTCGCCCCCGACCCCCAAAAAAAGTCCTGGGACTGAAGAACACCCCGCCAGAGGTAACGCATATGCTTAGGTCGGGCATGTCCCCCTAAAGGCGGATTTTGGACAACAGAAACTTGAAAATGGTCCAAAGGTGTTCAAAGAATATATTTTTGTTTGAAAGAACAAAAAAATCGACGAATCGTCCCCAGATCATGGTTTTACTACTTTTGAGCATTCCTCCGGTCGGGGGACAGCCCGACTTGAGCGCATGCCCCACACTCCGAGCAACGGCTGCACGGAAGGGTGCCCTCGGACACCCGCTGATCCCGAAAAGGGTGTCCTGGAGGGCCGCCCCAGAGGGCGCGGCCGGAGCCCGGCGTTAGGTCGTGCCTGTCCTCCTACAAGTATGTTGGGTTAAATTTGACCCCAAAAAAAACTGGAATGATATTCAAAACATGCTCAAACATATGGTTTTAAGATTTCTTTTAAGATGTTTTATATATACGTCCCCATGATATGTTTTGACTATGTTTGAATATCCCCCTCTGTAGAGGGACAGGCCCGACTTGAGCCCAGCGCGGAAGGGCCGTCCCCAGGCGAAGGGGCACCCGCGGCACCATAGCCGGCCCGAAATCAAAAGAGGCATCATAGCCTCATTATATCTAGATGGATCCACTCACGGATCCACTGCAATTTATCTCCATGGACTTCATTCCATGCGACGCATGCTCTCCCCTAGTGGACCGTGAACAGGACCCACTCCCCTGCCGGTCGTCTAGTGCCGCCATCATAGGCAACCTGAGGGGCCATCATAGGCACCTCGCACCCAATTCGGGGCCACCGGCAAGGCTCGTTTTGGGAAGAAGGACCATCATAGGCCTTCGCGCTCAATTTGTTCATTGAACTCAACTTTCTCGTCGTCGTCGTCGTCCTCCTCCTTCTCCTCCTCCTGGTCTCCACCCCATCGGAGCCGCGATACAGGCAATGCGGGCAGCACCTCGGCCTCGATCGGGTCGTGTTCGTGAATGTCACGGTTTCCGTGATCATGGGTGTGTTCACGGTGCGCTTCAGGGAGTCCGCAATCGTAAGTCGGGTCGTGTTCGTGAATGTCACGGTCTTCTTGTTCAGGAGTGTGGTCACAGGGCATTTCACGAAGTCCGCAATCATAGGTCGGGTCGTGCTCGTGTGTTTCACGGTCTTAGTGATCACGAGCGCGATCACAGTGCATGTCTCGGAGTCCGCAATCATAGGTCGAGTCGTGCTTGTGAATTTCACGGTTTTCGTGGTCATTAGCGTGGTCACGGTGCGTTTCACGGAGTCCGCAATCAGAAGTCGGGTCGTGCTCGTGAATGTCACGGTCTTCTGATTCATGAATGTGGTCACAATGCATTTCAAGACGGACGTTGTTGGTGGACGTCCGCCCTTGCCCTCCATCCCCCCGGCGAGGACCATCATAGGCCTTACCAGTGAGGACCACCATGAGGCCTCACGCCCCTCGCAGTTTTCATCATTGGTACTGCGGGGGTCGAACCAAATCCCCACGAACCTGGCACCGTACGTGCAGTGCCAGGGGCGGCGGCCCGTCTTCCCATCTTACCATCATAGGGAGATGCGAAGTCTCTGAAGACGGGACGGGGTGGGCACGAGCGGGCATCATAGCCGGCTCAAAATCAAAAGAGGCATCATAGCCTCATTATATCTAGATTGATCCACTCACGGATCCTCTGCAATTTATCTCCATGGACTTCATTCCATGCGACGCATGTTCTCCCCTAGTGGACCGCGAACGGGACCCAATCCCCTGCCAGTCGTCTAGTGCCGCCATCATAGGCAACCAGAGGGGCCATCATAGGCACCTCGCACCCAATTCGGGTGCCATCGGCAAGGCTCGTTTTGGGAAGAAGGACCATCATAGGCCTTCGCGCTCAATTTGTTCATTGAACTCAACTTTCTCGTCGTCCTCGTCGTCCTCCTCCTCCTCCTTCTCCTCCTCCTGGTCTCCACCCCATCGGAGCCGCGATACAGGCAATGCGGGCAGCACCTCGGCCTCGATCGGGTCGTGTTCGTGAATGTCACGGTTTCCGTGATCATGGGTGTGTTCACGGTGCGTTTCAGGGAGTCCGCAATCGTAGGTCGGGTCGTGCTCGTGAATGTCACGGTCTTCTTGTTCATGAGTGTGGTCACAAGGCAGTTCACGGAGTCCGCAATCATAGGTCGGGTCGTGCTCGTGTGTTTCACGGCCTTAGTGATCACGAGCGCGATCACAGTGCATGTCTCGGAATCCGCAATCATAGGTCGAGTCGTGCCTGTGAATTTCACGGTTTTCGTGGTCATTAGCGTGGTCACGGTGCGTTTCACGGAGTCCGCAATTTTAAGTCGGGTCGTGCTCGTGAATGTCACGGTCTTCTGATTCATGAATGTGGTCACAATGCATTTCAAGACGGACGTTGTTGGTGGACGTCCGCCCTTGCCCTCTATATCCCCCCGGTGAGGACCATCATAGGCCTTACCAGTGAGGACCACCATGAGGCCTCACACCCCTCGCAGTTTCCATCATTGGTACTGCGGGGGTCGAACCAAATCCCCACTAACCTGGCACCGTGCGTGCAGTGCCAGGGGCGGCGGCCCGTCTTCCCATCTTACCATCATAGGGAGATGCGAAGTCCCTGAAGACGGGACGGGGTGGGCACGAGCGGGCATCATAGCCGGCTCAAAATCAAAAGAAGCATCATAGCCTCATTAATCTAGATTGATCCACTCACGGATCCACTGCAATTTATCTCCATGGACTTCATTCCATGCGACGCATGCTCTCCCCTAATGGACCGCGAACGGGACCCAATCCCCTGCCAGTCGTCTAGTGCCGCCATCATAGGCAACCAGAGGGGCCATCATAGGCACCTCGCACCCAATTCGGGGCCATCGGCCAGGCTCGTTTTGGGAAGAAGGACCATCATAGGCCTTCGCGCTTAATTTGTTCATTGAACTCAACTTTCTCGTCGTCCTCGTCGTCCTCCTCCTCCTCCTCCTTCTCCTCCTCCTGGTCTCCACCCCATCGGAGCCGCGATACAGGCAGTGCGGGCAGCACCTCGGCCTCGATCGGGTCGTGTTCGTGAATGTCACGGTTTCCGTGATCATGGGTGTGTTCACGGTGCGTTTCAGGGAGTCCGCAATCGTAGGTCGGGTCGTGCTCGTGAATGTCACGGTCTTCTTGTTCATGAGTGTGGTCACAAGGCAGTTCACGGAGTCCGCAATCATAGGTCGGGTCGTGCTCGTGTGTTTCACGGTCTTAGTGATCACGAGCGCGATCACAGTGCATGTCTCGGAGTCCGCAATCATAGGTCGAGTCGTGCTTGTGAATTTCAAGGTTCTCGTGGTCATGACCGTGGTCACGGTGCGTTTCACGGAGTCCGCAATCATAGCTCGGGTCGTGCTCGTGGATGTCACGGTCTTCTGATTCATGAATGCGGTCACAGTGCATTTCACGACGGACGTTGTTGGTGGACGTCCGCCCTTGCCCTCTCCCCCCCCGGTGAGGACCATCATAGGCCTTACCAGTGAGGACCACCATGAGGCCTCACACCCCTCGCAGTTTCCATCATTGGTACTGCGGGGGTCGAACCAAATCCCCACGAACCTGGCACCGTGCCAGAGGCGGCGGCCCGTCTTCCCATCTTACCATCATAGGGGGATGCGAAGTCCCTGAAGACGGGACGGGGTGGGCACCAGCGGGCATCACAGCCGGCTCAAGATCAAAAGAGGCATCATAGCCTCATCAATCTGGATTGATCCACTCACGGATCCACTGCAATTTATTTCCACTGCTTTCATTCCATGCGTAGCATGCTCTCCTCCGGACGCCGTGCAGCAGGAGCTCGGCCACGAGAACTCTTCCGCAAGACACCCAACCCTGAGACCCCAGGGCGCCCAGCGCTTTGTGGCGCGAGGGCGTCCCGCGCGTCCTGGAAAAAAGACATCGGCACGCAGGACGCCCAGGGCGCCCAGGAGGCAAGCAAATACATTGTTTTTTGTCCTCAGGATCAAGGCTATAAAAGTACGGTGGCTGCGGCGCACGCCGCGCGAGGCGGCTCGCGGGCCAGAATGCTTACGGTTCGGGTGCACGCTGCGCTGATGCTGCCCCTCACCATGCACTGCGAACTACCACTCTGGTTGCTGCATGCCTGCTTCGCGGACCCGGCGGGCCACCCGCGGGCGCGCCAGTGCTAGGAGACTGGTTCTTGAATTCCAAAATTTGGACGCCCGAAATGGGTACGGAAAAATGGGTACAATGCGCAACAACAAATGTTGTCCCAAACCAACACCGACCGCTGTTTGGCAGGCGGCCTTCTGTCTCGAATGGACACAGGCCGCGGCGGCGTGGACAGCGAGTCCTGCTCAAAATGAACAGGAACTGCTGTTGGGCATTGTACCCATCCTTTCCGTGCCCTTTTGGTTCGTGCAGACAAAAACCAGGGGCACCCAGGAAGCCCAGGGCACCCCTGGAGGCAAGCGGGGTGCTTCTTGGCACGGGTCTCCACTGGAGCTGCCTCACGACGTGGACCCCCCACGAGGGGCGGCGCGCACCAGTGGGCGAGGCGCGAGGGGCTGGCCCCCTCCGGGCAGGCGCGGGGGGAGGGAGGCGCCTCCAGAAGGGCGGGCGGCCTCTCAGAAGCCCTCCCTGGCCTCGAGGAGGAGGGGGAGGAGGAGGAGGAGGAGGAGGAGGAGGAGGAGGAGGAGGAGGAGGAGGAGGAGGGAGGAGGAGGAGGAGGAGGAGGAGGAGGAGGAGGAGAGGGAGGAGGAGGAGGAGGAGGAGGAGGAGGAGGAGGAGGAGGAGGAGGAGGACGACGACGACGAGGAGGAGGAGGAGAAGGATGGAAGAAGCCTTCTCGGAAGCCCTCCGGGGCCTTCTGCGGAGGCCCTTGCCCTCTGAGAAGGCCGCTCCCCTCGCGGCGCCGCCCCACGCGGGGCCTTGCACCCCTTTTCCCGGGACCGGCTCCTCCGCCCGAGCCGCTGCCTCGAGGCCCTCCCGGGGCCCGGCGGGGGCCCTCACGGGCGGAGCCTCGCCTCCGTCGCTCGAGGAGCGAGGAGGTGCCGAAGCTCGCGCGCGAAGCTCGCGCTCTTGTCGAGCCACCGTCGCCCGGCGACGGCGAGGGCGACGGCCACGACGACGACGGCGGCGGCGGCGGCGACGATGACGACGACGGCAGCGACGACGACGACGACAACGACGGCGGCGGCGGCGGCGGCGACGACGACGACAACGACGACGAAGACGAAGCGACGGCAACGACGACGTCGTCGACGACGACGACGACGACGAAGAGACGGCAACGACGGCGTCGTCGTCGTCGTCGACGACGACGACGACGACGACGACGACGCGACGACGCGGCGACGGCAACGACGACGACAACGACGGCGACGACGACGACGGCGGCAGCGACGGCGACGGCGACGACGACGCCGATCTCGACGGCGACGTCGACGCGTCCGCAGGCGCCCGCAGCAGGCGCCCCAAGCCCGCGGACGCCAGCCGCCAGCGCCCCCGTAGCCGCGGCAGGCCGCCAGAGGCGCCGGGAGGCCACCGTTCCTGCACGGCGGCGGCAACGGCGGCGACCACACGGCGCAGACGGCGACGGCGGCGACCGCCGCCGACCGCCGACGGCCTTTAACTGCCGCCGAAGGCCACCAGTGGCCGCCAGTGGCCGCCGATGGCCTCGGCGGTAATCATGGCGGCTGCCACACAGTGCAGACGGCAACGGCGGCGACCGACTGGCCGACCCGACTTGGTCTGACCGGCATTTCGAGGCAGATCCAGCTGTGGCGACGACGATGACGACAATGACGGCGACGACGACGACGACGACGACGACGACGACAACGACGACGGCGGCGGCGGCGGCGGCGTCGTCGCCGAAGACGACGACGACGACGAAGACGACGACGACAACGACGACGACGACAACGGCGGCGGAGGGCGATGGGAGCCCAGACCTTTGGCAAATTGCTTTGTTCAGTCCAAACGTATGTTTGTTCCATTTTGGCGTCATGGAGCCGCTTCCAGGCCCGTCGTGTTGGCAATCTGGTCCCAGGGTCGCGAGCTCTGGGGCCCACAGGTTAGACGAACCCGACCGCCACAGGTCTGGGAACGACGACTGCGACGGCGGCGGCTGCGGTGACGAAGGCGGCGGCAGCGGGAGAAACTCGTTCGAAACTTGTCCTCAGACCGCAGATCAATTCTGACGCTGAAAATGCTGAGGACCTCCTCGAATCTCGAACGGACGGCGGCGGCCGCGACGACGACGACAACGACGAGGACGACGACGAGAACGATGACGACGCCGCCGCCGCCGACGACGACGTCGGCTGCGGCAGCGGCGGCGGCGATGGGGACCCATGCCTCTGGCAAATTGCCCTGTTCAATCCAAACTCATTTGTGTTCCATTCCAGCGTCATGGAGCAGTTTCCAGGCCCGTGTTGGCAAGCTGGTCCTAGGGTCGCGGGCCCTGGGGCCCACGGGTTAAACAAACCCGACCGCCACAGGTCTGGGAACAACGATGACGACGGCGGCGGCTGCGGTGGCGAAGACGGCGGCAGCGGCCGAAATGTTCTCGAAACTTGTCCTCAGACCCCAGATCGAAGCTGAGGCGGCTAACAATGCTCAAGATATCCTCGAACCTCGAACAGGCGGCGGTGGCCACGACGAGGACGACGACAAGGACGACGACGACGGCGACGGCGACGGCGACGACGACGACGACGACGACGCCGACGACGGCGACGGCGACGGCGACGGCGACGGCGACGGCGACGGCGACGACGACGGCGACGGCGACGGCGACAGCGACGACGGCGGCGACGACGGCGACGGCGACGGCGACGGCGATGGCGACGACGGCGGCGGTGGCGACGACGACGACGACGACGACGGTGACGACGATGACGACGACGACGACGGCGGCGGCGACGACGACGACGGCGACGACGACGACGACGAGGACAACGACGACGGCGACGACGACGTCGACAACGACGACAACGACGATGACGACGATGACGACGGCGATGACGACGACGACGACGGCGCGACGGCGACGACGACGACGGTGACGACGACGACGACGACGACGACGACGACGACGACGACGACGACGACGGCGACGACGACGATGACGACAACAACGACGGCGACGGCCGCCGCCGAAAGCCGCGGAAGGACCGCCGGTGGCCGGCGAGAGGCCGCGGATGGCGGAGAGGGCGGCTCAATCTGCTCCCGGCATGGGCTGCTGTGCGCGCACGTGTCACGGAGGCCTGCACACGTGTCACGAAGGCATGCCCGTGCCTGCGCACTGCTACAGTCGGGGCGTTGACCTAAGGAACCCTAAATCAGGAACGAGGCCCCTTTTTTTCAATAAGTTAACCTTCGATTTCCGATCGAAAACATGAGGAAAGCCTGAGGCAAGCTGCGAAACACCTAAGGAACGCGGAGCCCCTCCCCAACGAAAAGGGTTCCTTCTTCAGCGCCCCGACTGCACGCGCACATGAATGAAAGACGGCGTGCTCGCTTGGGCACTGGCAAGCGCACACGGCAGCACGAAGGCGTGCTCGCATGTTCACGTGCGCACGCCTGCCTGCCCGGGAGTGGTGTTTCGTCCCAGGACGCTTTGGACGGCCGAGGGAGCCAATAAACGCACTCCACGAAATCGCCGTCGCCGCCGCCGCCATCATCACCATCGTCGGCCGTCTGCCGCCGACGGCCGCCGAAGGCTGTCGACAGCCGTCGCCACCGCCGCCGTCGGCGTCGCCGCCGCCGTCGCCATCGTCGTTGTCGTCGTCGTCGTCGGCCGCCGAAGGTCGCCGATGGCAGCCGAAGGCCGGCGGCAGCGACGACAGCGGTGACCAACGGCGGCGGCGGCCCCGCCGGAGGAACGGCGCGCAGCCATTCTCTCGCCGCGACCCGCGTGGCGGGGGGCGCAGCGGGAACGCCGCCCGAGCCGGGGCGGCTCCGTCGTCGTCGCTTTCGTCGTCGATTCCAGGTATCCGACCATGTTTTTCTTCAACCAGCAGTTTCTCCTGGATTTCGGCATCTGGGACTCGTCTTCGGGCCACGGGATGATCCAGCATGAACCTCGGGGGCAGCCATCAGGGAGGCGTCCAAGAGGGGGGGGCACAAATCATGGCCGGCGGCATGTGCGCGGCCCAGGGGGGGGGGGGGGGCCAGGGACGCAACGAAATAAGAAGAGTCGCCATGAAATCAGAGGAGATATTACGGCGCACGCCCGAATGTCCACCCCCCCCTAGTCATCCCCCCCCTCGTTGGCCGCCCCCGAACACCCGGTACGAGAAACCACCCCCCGGGAAGCGGTCGGGACACCTGGGGTCGCGATTCGAAGAAAACAACATGAAGGGGCCCTGGGACACACAGATAAATGCACACAAATAGAAAGATCCCCCATGTTTTCCTATATTTTTGGGGGATTCTCGTCTTCCCCCCCCACTTCCCCTATTTTCCCATTTTTCTGGGATATCGACGATGACTTGTGTCTGTGTTTTTTCTTCCCTCCTGACAAAAGCCAACGGAGGTCCAAGGGACCGAGGGTCGAGGGCCCCGGGCGGCAGCTCTCGAGGTCTCCGCGCTGCTCGCTGGGGCTCCGGGGCGAGGCGCGCCTCGCACTGCGCCGCAGCGCCTCGGACGGGGCGGGGCCCACACGCTGTTTTTCGTGCTGTTTTCGTGATGCTTTACGTTTTGATCTACCTGTTGTCCTGCACCAGTCTTGTTTCGTTTTGCTGTCGTCATGTTTTCGTCTGGATCTACCCATGTTTCCTGCCCCTCCCTGCCGAAGCGCAAAAGAGAACACACAGCCGAAGTCCAGCAAAACAGTGTCTAGGTCCAGCCCGGACCTGTGAGTGCGCCTGTTTCCGGTGCCCGAGGCCGCTGGCGCGCTCCTTACGGCGCAGACCTTCTGCGGCTGAGGACTCTTGAGCAGGGACCGACCGCCCCGGCATTCCGGTAGGCCTACCACGAAAATCTCTTCGAACCCAGAAAATTGCTCGAAACACAAAAACAATGTTCTTGGAACATAGACTCGATGTGCTAAGACAAGACGATATCGGCCAGAAATGTTCGAGCAGACCGCAAAAGGTTCCTAGAACATTCTTTAGTGGGCCTATAGGCGAGCCAGGACGCTTCGCCACTGCTTGAGACTCCCCTCTGTATCCACCTGTCGTAGTGTTTGGTCGGGCCTGTCCCCCTCCTACAGGGGGGGGGGGGGGGCGAAGAATTGAGAAAATACTTGGAGATCGTCCTAAAATGTTCCAAAGTAAGTCAGAAACATCCTCCCCAGACTGTCGACTGTCTTTCGATGACTTCTGGCGATCCCTCCTGTAGAGAAGGACGGGCCCGACTTCATCGCAGTGTGCCAACAGCGAGGCGCACCCCGCCCCGCTGCCGAACGCGTTGGCGGCCGCGGGCGCCGCGGGCACGCCCTGCAAAGAGGGGCGGGCGCGTGCGATCGTGGGCACGCCGCCCCGGGCAGGGGGCGGCCCCGGGAGCGAGGGCCTCCTCGGGGAGGAGTCATCCCTCCGAGGAGAGGAGGCCTCCTCGGAGGGCGGGCCTCCCCCCCTCGCCCGCCCTCCCCCCGAGGACGGAGTGTCCTCCTCGGGAGGGGGCGACGAGCGAGGGGGACCGGGGGGGGAGAACAACAAACAAGCAACAAAAAAAAACGGCGCTCCTCGCTCTCGAGCCCTGCGGCCCGCTTCGGGCCGCAGGGATCAAGAGTCCATGGGCTGGGGGAGGACGGACTGGTCAGGACAGGCCCCGGAAGGGGTCCGTCCTGGGAGCGATCTTGAGCAGACTTCGGGCTCCGGGGTGTGGGGGGGCAGGAGGTGGGGGAGTTCAGGATCGAGTACGGGTGTTTCTGGACGCCCTGTCGCCCTTCCTCGACGACGGCGGCGACGACGACATCGACGACGACGACGACGACGACGACGACGACGACGACGACGACGACGACGACGACGACGGCGACGGCGGCGGGGGCCGCGGCGGCCGACGCCGCCCACAGAGGCGGGGGTGTTCCAGGAGAGAGGACTCGTGCTCCTTCGTGGGAACGCTCAGGCCGAGAAGCGAAGGAAAACCTCGAGGGAGTCGAAGCTCGAGCAGCGAGGCTCGGGGAGACCTCCCGAACCCTCGAGGACGTCGGGGACTTCGACGACCTCGAGGTTCGAGGAGGACGCCGGGGACTTCGAAGACCGCGAGGCTCGGGGATCGAAGGGATCTCGAGGGCCGGAAATTTTGGGGGACGCTGCGGTGCGCCGCTGTGCCTCGGGGGGAGGCTCTCGGGGCCGCCGCGGCTGGGTTCGCCCCTCGCAGAGCACCGCGCGCTCTTCGGCACCCCTCTTGGCCAGGGACCCCCTCGCGTCGCGAAGCAGTCGCGGCGCGCAAGGGTTTTCGTCTGCAGCGCTCGGCCTGCAGGCGGCGATTTTTTTGGGGGGCCCTGGACCGTCTACGAACGAGTCGGGGTGCAAAGGCCGGTCCGAGGGCAGGGGTGCAGAGGACTCGGGCCCAGAGGCTCGAGGAGGAAGAGGAAGAGGAGGGGGAGGAGGAAGAGGAGGAGGAGGAGGAGGAGGAGGAGGAGGAGGAGGAGGAGGAGGAGGAGGAGGGGGAAGCAGGAGGGAGATGGAGAGAGGAGGCTGAGGAAAAGGAGGAGGAGGAGGAGAAGGAGGAGGAGCTTGTCTTCTTCCCTCGGCGAGCGAGCCTACCTGCCACAGGGGCACTGGTGCGGCACGCGGATGGCGGGCTGTCGCAGGACGGGGCGCGCGCGCACCCTTGCGAGTCGAGCGCGAGGTGCTGGCCATGGCAGGCAGCGGGCCCGAGAGGCTCTCCCCAGCCGGGCTGCACAAGCTTTCGGTCGAGCCTGTCCCCCTACAGGCCGACCTTGGACGAAAAATAAGCAATAGTCGGAACGATTCTCCCCCCCCACAGAAAAGAATCTTGGAAACAGTCAGAAAAACGTCCTCGGACTATATTTTTCCTATTTTTGAATCTCCCTCCTGTAGAGGACAGGCCCGACTGAACACAAGCTGCCAGAACGGGGAGGGGGAGACGGAGCCAGGGCGGATCTGGGAGGGAGGCGGAGGAGGTGGAAGGAATAACGGAAGGAGAGGGCGAGGACGAGGAAAGGGAGGGAAGAGGAAGGGCCGAAGTGTTGCCCTCGACCTTCCGGTGCCGAGTCCTCGCTTTGAGTCGAGCGCTGCTGGACCTCCCTCCCGCCCTCTCCCCTCCTCCTCTTGCCGCCAGGCGCGCAGCCGCCGCCGCTCTCCCGGCGTCCCAGGGAAGTCCAGCGGAGCGGTGCCCCACGCAGAGCGAGGTGAGACCTCGCCCTCCTCCCCGCGGTGCTGCAGGGCGCGCACCTGTCATCACTTGCGAGACGATCCAGAGCGGGTCTTACGCGAGATGGCACAGCGACCTTACGCGGCAGACCCACGTGGGCTCTCGCCGTCCCCAGGGCTGCCGGGCGTGCCAGGAGCGTCGCCGCGCTCCTGCGTCCCTGTGGGGGGGGGGGTCCACCATTAAGTCGGGCCTGTCCCCCTACAGGGGGATTTCGACGAAAAAATAAAGATACCCCCCAAAAAAAATCAAAAAATAGTCCAAAAATAGTCTGGGGACTATTTTTTGCGCATTTTTGTTGCCATTTTGGGGCATGTTTTGCGTATTTTTGTTCGCCCAAAATCCCCCTGTAGGGGGACACGCCCGACGTAAGTCCACCAGAACGGCGCGCAGAACCAAACTGCACCTCGCCCTGCCTGGGCGCTGCGAGGCGCGCAGCCGTCGCCGACGTGCTGCGCCCCCGGGGCGTCCCGCAGGGTGGCGTCATGCGCAGGCCCAAAGTACGCCCCGCCCTGCAGGGGCGCTGCCGGGCGTGCAGCTGTCGTCACTCTGCGGCGCCCCCGGGGGTTCCTGCCGAGAGCAGTGCTGCGCAGATCGAAACGGCACCTCGCCCTCCCGGTGCGCATTCGTGCTGGCGGGCCCCGCTGATGCTGCGCCATATGGGAGGGAGGGGGGAGGAGGAACTCGAGGAGGGAGGGGGATGGTAGGTCCTCCTCCTCCTCCTCCTCCTCCTTCTCCTCCTGCCCCACGCTCCCCCGGGAGAGCGCGGAGAGGGAGTGAGGGACGGGAGGGAGGGGGAGAAGAGGGAGGAAGAGGAGGGAGGAAGAGGAAGAGGAATAGGAAGAGGAAGAAGAGGAAGAGGAAGAAGAGAAAGAAGAAGAAGAAGAAGAAGAAGAAGAAGAAGAAGAAGAGGGGGAGGAGGACGGGAAGGAGGGGAGGCGTGGGAAAGGAGGAGAGGCCGAAGGGGTGTCGGTCGGCGGCCTCTGGGGGGAGGGGCGGCCAGGCTTCGGCCCTCGAGGCCCTCTCCGGGCGGCCCTCGAGGCCCTCGGAGACGGCCGTCGGCGGCACAGCACCCGGGGAGAGCTCCCCGCGCCGTGCACCCCAACTGAAGGGGCCCTGGGACACTCAAATAAGTACACACACATAAAAAAAGATTCCCCATATGTTTTGGGTTTTTCTCTTCCCCCCCCCTTCCCATACTTTCCCATGAAAACCTTGGGAATCGCCGATGAATTGTGTCCGTGTGTCTCTTTCCCTCCTGACCAACGTCTGCCCTGTTCGGGCACCCGCCCTTTCCTTCGGCAGGCGTGACGCAGCAGTTCGAAGGACATTCGCCGCCATCGAGCGCGTCGGCGAGGCATGGCATGCTAGCAGAACCCTTCGTTTGCGCCCGGTCCAGGGCATCGCGAGGGCATCAACCCTGCAGCAGCGGCTAGCTTGCGCGGAATCCAGGGATACTTGGCAAGCCCTTCCACGAAAATGCGGGTCCCCACAGACCCTGGAGTGATGGCCATGCAAAGACATGATTTGAGTGATGTCGATGGAAAGCTTCCACGCACTCGCCGCTGGAGTCCCCGCCGGTGTATGACATGCGCAAGCTGAATCTGTC